CGCACATGTGCAGCAGATCTCGAATCGCTGTGGATCTGATTAAATTCAGTGCCTGCATTTTCAGCTATTTCAATATTGATAAGTTAAAGATAATTTACAGATATATCAAGTTTGTGGTTCCAAGAACAGGTCTTTTTTTCTGAATACCAATTTTCTTCTTGGTCTTCTGTTCCACAGACAGAAGTGTTAGGAGTTGAACAGAAATTGTTGGATCTTAAAAGGCCGACGAGGTATAACGTTTGGTAATGAACTTCTACTAACAGGCAAATATTAAATTTTATATAAAAGAGTTTGGCTGTATTTCAAGCAATTTCTGTCAAAGTAGATGCTGCATTAAAAAAAACTTTGGCAGAGATGGGATTGTTGATAGTAGGACCCTTGTAGAGCCAGTTTTCTTTAACCTCCTGGCTACACTACTGATGTGTTTTTGGGTGAAAGCTGGTTCATGAATTCCAAGGCACTCCAAAGTTTTTATCATCTGTAAATATACCAAACAAAATATATGTACTTATCTTTGTATAGCATATTAGATATTGGATTTGTGTAGAAGGCTAACAGAAGTGCTGCATCTACAAAATGAAGCACCTAAGTATTAGAAATTCTATTTTATGAGAGGGATAAGCTTAATTATCCTTTTGAGGCAAGAATTCTAATAACATAGAGGTCATACTCATCTTTCTGTGCATGTGTGCTGTTTGGATGCAGATTGTCCCATCTGTAGAGTAAACAAATGTGGAGAAATATTGTAGATGAAATATTTTTACAGTGCTCAGAGAATCGTGCTTCCCAAGTTGGAGCTAAAACTGGATCCTAAATACTCTTCCCAAGCCACTCTTGCTCTCCTCTCCGCTTTCCAGCAGATCTGTTCATGTCCTAAGACTTTTCCCCCACATTGTTCTCGTCAGCTGCTTCCCCACCCTTCACAGTGCTCCTGAGATTCTTGGCACCAGTTTTCTTTCTTTCACTCCTGTTGATTTCTGTCACAGGGCTGCTAATGGATACTGTCAGAACAGTGCCTGTGTGGTAGAGGAAGAGCTCAGCAAGGCTGATCCAAGAGTCGCTGCATGCCTATGGCCAATACCTGTCAAGCCAAGTGATGCCCCTGCTGTTAAGCCCACTAATACCAGAATTCTCCTTGAAAATTCCTGCCCACAGGTGACACACAGAGCTGGGCTTAGCTGTTTTCCTGGAGCCTGAGCCATTGCTGTTAGGTGACCAGTTTGAAAATAAGAAAGCAAAGCAGTGTTAAACACGTAGGCATTGGCATAAATCACAGCTGTGAACTGTTTTGTGTTTATTACCATGCCAACTAGATGGAGGCAATGCAGTATGAAGCAACTCCTGAAACTTTTAACTACACAGAGGCCTCAGATGGGACTTTGCTAACTTCATCAGGGACCCGTTTGTTTTTCTTTAAAAAAGTACAACTTTGAGTTGTACCAAGAAACCCAGTTTGCCAAATAACTGCTGCCTCTCACACAGTGGCCAGACAGCTTTGAAAAGAGGCTCTGTGAAGATGTGTGACTGCAAATGAGGGTACTTGTAAATTTTTGTAGAGGCAGTCCACAGAGCAGCCCATTATCCACCGGCTGCCTTCTCCCAAAGCTGGTGAGGATGGGCAGCTGCCCAAGCAGAGCTTGACTGGTGGCATTCACAGTGTTCATCAGTGATAGGTGGGAACTATTTTTCCTGTATTCGTTTATGGGGAAGTTGCTGTGTTTCTGAAGCCACAAAAGTCTGTAGTGAATTTGTACTGTGTGCCAATGCAGTAAGTTATGTAACAGCAAACATCTCTTTTCTGGAACAGGATTATCAGTGTCATGTAGCTCTTGGCTAGCTTTATTGCAGGTCTCTCATGGATTACCTCTCTCGGTGAAGCTTTCAACATGAAGCCATTCTTCCAATGCTGCCAAGCAGCAGGACCTCTCAGTGCCACGCAGCCATGTGCCAGTACACCGTGTGACACCTGGCAGAGGAAACCTAGCATTGTGCACATGAAGGGGCAGGTGCCATGGCTACCTGCATTGTAACACATGACAGCTGAAGCCTTCATTAAACTCTAATTGGAATTAAGTGTTGTGCTCATCTCAGAGTCACACAGCCAGCCAGGCTTCGTGCCTTCGCCCCTCAGTCCAAGTGGGAAGCACCCGCTGATGCTGCTGCTCCATTTCTCCTCATATTCTGCAGCTTCCTTGGAAGGAAGTGCTGCAGAAACAAGTGGTAGCTCACACCACCCAGCAGCAATACGTGCTGATCTCCCTCCTATAGTTACAGCTGCTCCCTAATCCCAGAGAAATTAACAGGCAGTTATACGTTCTGAGAGCATGTAATCGCCTTCTTCCCTCTTCCCCTTACTGCTGGCAATCTTGTGCTTATTTGCAGCTGCAGGCCACTGCCTGGTTATGCAAACATCTTCTTGGAATGATGGGCCAGTAAACCAAAGCAAGGATCTCAGGATTTTCTCAGCCTTCCTGCATGACATGAATTTTCCAATGTATCTTAAGTGATACTACAGAGGAGAAAATAATTCCTTTACCAAGGATATTGTTCCATGTTTTGTGGCTCCTAATGAATTCCAGGGACAACCTCCTTGCAGGAGAAGATTTTTCTGGCACAACAAAAATTTTCTCAAATCAGCCACAGCTGCCAGATAGTTTCAGCTTTGAATTGTTTGCATTTATTGGGCCTGGAGTTGGTCCAATGAGGCATTTCGTGTCTGCCTTCTGTCAATAGTTTGTAAACCTCGAAGCAACTCCAATGGACTTCCCTCCCCCCGTGCAAATTAAAGGCAAGGCTACAGCAGCTGTAACCAGAGGGCTAAAAGCTGGAAAATGTCATACCACAGCTGAAGTCCAACTGATATAAATCCACAATGTGATGAAGTCTTAAAGAAAATGAAAAAAAATCCAAAATAATGGAAATTACATTTAATACTCAAACTTTTCCACATGAGTAATGTGGAGAGGGTTTATATATGGAAGGGTATGATGAAGGTTAATAAATGTTTGCACAGCTAATAGTTCTTGATGTTAAGTATTAGGAAACAGTTGTTCAATCACAAATTGTTACCAGTTGCTCACACTGAAACATAAACACCACTTTCAAGAGACACCTAACTGGAAAGCTGGATCAGAAAGCAAACTGGCTCCGCTAGAAAGCTTGTCATAGAAGAGAAAGAAGATTAAAAAAAAGTAAAGGGAAATAGCATGAGGTTGCCTGTGACCATAGGAAGCTTTCTGCACTTGTTGCAGTATGAACAGAAGGTCACCAATATGCATAATCCATTGATCCACTGAGGTTTTGCAGTTCTCTAATACTTTCCTTTCAGCCATCCAATTCCTGAAGCTTTATGTAAGCTGAAGCATCTGTTCTTCTGTACTGACAAAATCACTGGTGTTCCATTTACCTGGTGTTAGCCCGTGATTCCCACAAACTCATTCCTACAAACTGGAATATTTTCCAGTTACTTGAAGAAACTTGAACTGATGCCATGAAATGATGGCTGCAGGACAGTTACAACAAAATGGGAGCTTTTTTTCTCTCTGTGTCACACAAATAAATCCACAGATGCTAGTTAACACATTTGTTGAAACATGGATCTGTGTATCAGAAGGATGTGGTCAGTCACACTGATTTTCTGGAGGACAGTTTTTAGAAGGAGCTTTGTTTATTTTGTTGTTGTTGTGGGCTACTTCTATTGTCTTTTGCAATGAACAATTTGTTCAGTATGTTATGGAGTCTGAAGCTCCAATTTCATCCTTCCTGAAATACGTGTGTGGAGAAAAAATACTGTGTTAAACAGTGAAACCTTTAAGGAACTGCTGAAGTATCATCTAATGCGTATTGATCTCTGCAAGTCTGCTTCCTTTTGAAACCCTCTGTCTTTGATTAGCACTTCCCTTTTCTCTGGGGATGAGAAGTTCTTCCACATTAGGAGGAAAGAAAAATGGCTCTATCAGCTTCAAGTATTTATATTGTCTGGAGAACAGGTGAGCACCTTTAATTGCTGGCGGCAGCGAGGCAATTAGCTGTTCTCTGAGTTCAATGAACACTTTGTGGCCTCTTTTGAACCTTCCTTTGAGAATCTCCTTGTGATACAAGTATCCACTCTGAGGAGACATGAAGCTAAGGTATAGTAATAAAAAACACATCTTTAAGAAACAGTTACATACTTCAATCTGACACTGTGATGGGCATCTTTCTTTTATTGGTTCCCAGAATTCTTGAAGTTCTTTTAGGCTTCTTAGACAGACTGCACTACAAAAATGCCATTATGCCATACTGAGCCATAAAGAGCACGATCAATGATTATGCATCAAGACAAGGAGTTAGCTGATTTTCATTCTCTGTTTAACTTGTTAATTCTGTTTAGCTCACAGACTTTCCATTCTGCATCCAATGACACTCCAAAGGCATGTTTTTGTGAAGGATTGAGACTTTGTCCTCCATGACCCAAGCCCAATTTTAAGATTCTTGATGTAGCAAATGCCTCGACACATACTGTATTTATTCTATTTTACAACAATATTGTAGTCACAGTCATTCAACTGTAAAAGATACTCTCTGCTGTTCATTTTGAGATTTATCTCACACTTTGGTGACTGTGACCTTTCTACAGGTTGTGGTCATGCAAGCTACCCAGTTAGTCCTTACCGTCATTCTCTAGACTAAGTCAATCTCTGGTCCCTCATTGTGGAACTGCAAGTTTTTGCTTATTGATAGTCTGTAGCTGGGTCTTGCCCCCAGGTTCCTGTAAGCTGCAAGATGAAAGGCTGAATGCTTTTCTGCATGGCAGTGTTTTCACAGGCGATTGTCTGCTGCTTGTAACATGGGAAAACCAAGCAGAACTAATTGTGTAAATTAGTTGTATTTAGCCAGTTTGGCTTGGCTGTGATTCATCTCAATGACAAGAAAAACATTTTTGGCCTTTCAACTTCACTGAACAGTATTACCTCAAGAAACTGTTAAGAAGTTAACAGCGAATGAAATCCAACACAGAATTCTAGGGATCCAAATTCTATTTATTCTAATGGATATTTTCCGTTCAATTAGCTGTAGTCCTCAATGGGGAAGTCCACTGCACCTTCATCACGTTCTAGCATGTTTTTTTTTTTCTAACCCTTTTGTACCCTTAGCAGTTTGGTGAGTTTAAAAATAGCTAACTCACAGAAAGTTGTTTCATGAATGACTCCAGCCCAGTGAAGGTCCCCATGCTGTGCTGTATAAACAGACAAAAGACATAACAGCAAAAAATGCTGCTTTGGGTTGACTTGACATAAGGGAAGGCTCTCCCACCCTGAGAAACTGTATTTTTAACTGATGTTTTGGCTCCGGACAAAAGCTATGTGATCTTTATATAGAAGTATTTAAAAGTAGAGTATAAGTGATTCCTGAATAATATCTACAACCAGCAGTCTGCTATAGCAATAGCTAGCATTTCTGACTATTGCATCATCTTCTAAAATTTACTGTGAATAAGTATGGATAAAATGTTCCATGCTAAGGAAAGGAAAAAAGCTATACTGGAATTTGCGAGAAATACTCACTTGAGCTACAGTTCTTAATATGAATTGTCATCGCTAACGATCTGAGCAACTGAACAGAATTTTCCATCCTATAACTGAAATAACTGTAAGCAGAGAAGCAGCACAATCTGATGCGTTTCTCTGCTGCGCGCAGTTTGCTGAGGTGGTGAAATAGTGACGTGAAGCCAATAATGCACAGACGACTCCTCCTATATTCTTCATTCCGACGACGGCTTGTTCTGGTTTACCAGCAACTTCATTTCTTGCTTGTCTATGCTGGAATTTACGCTTTCGGCCTCCTTTTCTTGCTCAGGCACACACGTGCAGCCCACTGGGATGGTGACGTAGTCTTCCGTGTACACATAGCGGCCCCCAGCGCAGGAGGAGGTGCGGCGGAGGATGACGGTGGGCATGTACACGGGGGTGCTGCGGAAGTGAAAATTCTCCTCGCCAAAGATCCCCATCAGGCAGCCCTTGCACAGGCAGTATGCTTCGGGAATGTATTTAGGGTATCTTGTGGGGTCATATGAAATTCTACAGGGAAGCAGATAATAAAGATTCATTAGCGTCTCTCTGCATATTCATCTGGAAAACATTATGATAAAGTTATTTGACCGTAAACATTCATATAATGTTTTGGGGGATTTGCTGCCAGGATAAACAGCAGTAGTTGTTGCTGTCTGGCTTCTTCGTTGAAAAACTGAAAGAAAGAGCACAAACGACTCATTGAACTGATCAAGTCCTCCAGAGCCTGCTGACGTGTGAAGTGACTGCCTTCCCAAAATGCAATTCAGGGGTTTCAACAGAGTCAGTCTTGCACTTTGGACTGAGTGAGAAACTAGAGTATTAGAGAAGACTTGGACACTTCCAAACTTATTATCTGCCTTGAGTTCTCAAAAATGCACTACAGATACTGTTAACATTCTTACTGTTGACATGATTATTTAGAATTATATAATTTAAATGGAATTACTTTGTACAGTTCTTTCTGCAATAGTTTTTGCTCCCTAGTATGCCTAAGGTGTTCAGGGTTGTAAATGTTCCTTCCTCTTAAAAGTAGAACTGAGCATTTCTTTGCCTTATTCACCTCTGTAGTTTCTGCCTCTTCCTCTAACCACATAGAATCATAGAATCACCAAGGTTGAAAAGACATCTAAGATCATCCAGTTCAACCATCCACCTATCACCAAATTTCCCACTAAACCACATGCCTCAGTACAACATCTAAACATTTCTTGAACACCTCCAGGGACAGTGATTCCACCACCTGCCTGGGCAGCCTGTGTCAGTGCACGACCACTCTCTTGGAGAAGTATTTCCTAATGTCCAACCTGAATCTCCTCTGGCACTATGTGAGGCCATTCCCTCTATTACTAGTTATGTGGGAGAAGAGGCCAACCCCTAGCTCACCACAACCTCCCTGCAGGGAGTTGTAGAGAGTGATAAGGTCTCCCCTGAGCCTCCTCCAACAAGAAAAGGTGTGATAGTGTGGTTTCAGGTTTATACTGACCCTGATGGCCTTATCACTCACGTTTTTAGCAGAGAGCAATAGCTGGCACAGTCAGCTTGTTTTTTGAAATTAAAAAAAGAGTATGAGGCACTAAAATGAAGTGTGCAGCCACAGTGCATATTGTGGTGACGATGTACTTGTTCCTCAGCTCTCCACCCCCTCTTTCTGCTTATACTGGAATTGCTGGGAAGGGCCATAACTTGGATTGGAAGAAGGTTTTTTACAACGAGGATGGTGAGGTGCTGGCTCAGAATGCTCCATCCTGAGACAGTCAAGACTAGGCTGGTCGGGGCTCTGCGCACTTGATGGAGCTGTAGGTGGCCCTGTTCATTGCTGGGGGGAGGTTGGACCAGTTGACTTTAAAGGGTCCCTTCCAACTCAAATCACAGAATCACAGAATCACAGAATTGTAGGGGTTGGAAGGGACCTCCAGAGATCATCAAGTCCAACCCCCCTGCCAAAGCAGGTTCCCTACAGTAGGTCGCACAGGTAGGCATCCAGGCAGGTCTTGAACATCTCCAGAGAAGGAGACTCCACCACCTCCCTGGGCAGCCTGTTCCAGTGCTCCGTCACCTCACTGTAAAGAAGTTCTTGCGCACATTTGTGCAGAACTTCCTATGCTGCAGTTTCCGGCCGTTTCCCCTTGTCCTGTCTCCACTCACCACTGAAAACAGTCTGGCCTCGCCATTCTGCCCCCCACACCTTAGATACTTATAGACCTGGATCAGGTCCCCTCTCAGTCTCCTTTTCTCAAGGCTGAACAGACCCAGTTCACTCAGCCTTTCCTCGTAGGAGAGATGCTCCAGGCCCTTCACCATCTTCGTGGCCCTCCGCTGGACTCTTTCCAAGAGATCCTTGTCTTTTTTGTACTGGGGAGCCCAGAACTGGACACAGTACTCCAGATGAGGTCTTACCAGGGCAGAGTAGAGGGGGAGGATCACCTCCTTCGACCTGCTGGACACGCTCTTTTTAATGCACCCTAGTAAGCCACTGGCCTTTTTGGCCACAAGGGCACACTGCTGGCTTATGGCCAACCTGTCATCCACCAGGACACCCAGGTCCCTCTCCGCAGAGCTCCTCTCCAGCAGGTCATCCCCCAACCTGTACTGGTGCATGGAATTATTCCTCCCCAGATGCAAGACTCTACACTTGCTTTTGTTAAACCTCATCCGGTTTTTTTCTGCCCAGCTCTCCAGCCTATCCAGGTCTTGCTGAATGGCAACACAGCCTTCAGGCGTGTCAGCCAATCCTCCCAACTTCGTATCATCAGCAAACTTGCTGAGGGTGGCCATTATCCCCTCATCAAGGTCATTGATGAAGATGTTGAACAAGACTGGACCCAGTACAGACCCCTGAGGAACACCGCTGCTTACAGGTCTCCAACCAGACTCTGCACCACCAACAACGACCCTCTGTGCTCTGCCAGTCAGCCAGTTCTCAACCCACCTCACTGTCCACTCATCTATCCCACATTTCCTCAGCTTTGTTATAAGGATGTCGTGGGGGACGGTATCAAATGCCTTGCTGAAATCAAGGTAGACTACATCCACTGCTCTACCCCCATCCACCCAGCCAGAGACAACATCATAGAAGGCTACCAGGTTGGTCAAGCACGACCTCCCGCTTGTGAACCCGTGCTGACTACTCCTGATAACCTCCTCTTCTTCCAGTTGTCTGGAGATGACATCCAATACAAGCTGTTCCATCACCTTTCCAGGGACAGAGGTGAGGCTGACTGGCCTATAATTGCCTGGGTCTTCCTTCTTGCCTATTTTGAAGACCGGGGTGACGTTGGCTATCTTCCAGTCTTCAGGCACCTCCCCCGTCCTCCAAGACTTCTCAAAGATGACAGAAAGCGGTTCAGCAATCACCTCTGCCAGCTCCCTCAGCACCCGTGGATGAATCCCATCGGGTCCCATGGATTTGTGAACATTGGTGTTGCCTAGGCGCTCCTGGACCACCTCTTCCCTGACCGAAGGGAGGTCTTCCATTCCCAAGATCCTCTCACTAACCTCCAGGGTCTCAGATTCCCGAGGGGGAGCTTTTTCACTGAAAACAGAAGCAAAGAAGGCATTCAGTATCTCCGCCTTCTCAGCATCCCCCGTTACCAGAACACCCCCGTCACTTAGCAGGGGAGCCACATTCTCCCTAGTCTTCCTTTTACTGTTAATGTACTTGAAAAAACCTTTTTTATTATCTTTTATCCCCTTTGCCAGATTTAATTCCAGGCAGGCTTTAGCCTTCCTTGTCGCATCCCTGCAGACCCTGACAACATTCCTGTATTCTTCCCAAGTAGTCAGACCCTTTTTTCCACATTTCATGGGCCTTCTTCTTTCCTTTGAGTTTGTGCATGAGCTCCTTGCTCATCCACACAGGTCTCCTGCCACCCTTTCCCGATTTCTTCCTCACAGGGACACACCAATCCTGAGCTTGGAAGAAGAGTTGCTTAAATGCCGACCAGCTCTCACAGGCCCCCTTGCCTTCCAACACCCTAGCCCATGAGACAGCTCCAAGTAGGCCCCGGAAGAGATCGAAGTTGGCTCGCCTAAAGTCCAGGATAGCAATCCTACTTTTTGCTTTACTTCTTCCACTCAGGATCTTGAACTCCACCATCTCGTGGTCACTACAACCCAAGCTGCCCCCGACCTTTACTTCCCTGACAAGCACTTCTCTATTAGTGAGAATAAGGTCCAGCAGTACCCCTCTCCTCGTCGATTCCTCAACCGCCTGCATCAGGAAGTTGTCTTCAACACATTGCAGGAACCGTCTGGACCGCGCATGCCTGGCCACATTGCTTTTCCAGCAAATATCTGGATAATTGAAGTCCCCCATAAGCACCAGCGCCTGGGATCGTGACGCTGCTTCCAATTGTTTGTGGAAGGCCTCATCAACCTCCTCCTCCTGATCAGGGGGCCTGTAGCACACACCCACAACGGTGTCAGCTATACCAGCCTGCCCCTTGATTCTTACCCACAAGCTCTCCACTGCTACACCACTCTCCCCCAGGTGGAGTTCAATACATTCAAGCTGCTCTCTTACATAAAGAGCAACTCCACCACCCCGCCTCACCAGCCGATCTTTCCTAAAAAGCACATAGCCCTCCATGACAACATTCCAGTCATGCGAGCTGTCCCACCACGTCTCTGTGATCGCAATGAGATCATAGCCATGTGACCGCACGCAGATCTCCAACTCTTCCTGTTTATTTCCCATACTGCGCGCATTAGTGTATAGACACTTCAGGGAGGCAGCATTCCCCTGCCACACTCCATCCCTTTGAACTCCACCCTCGTCACCCATCAAGTTCACTTTTGAACCTTGAACTACCTGAACCTCAGCAGTCCTCATTTTGTCCCCTTCCCCCTTCTTACCTAGTTTAAAGACCTGTCAATGAGGCCTGCCAGCTCCTGGGCTAGGATCCTTTTACCCCTTGTAGACAGTTGAGCTCCATCTGCAGCTGTCATGCCAGGAGCTGAGTAAGTTGCCCCATGGTCAAAAAAACCAAAGTTCTTCTGCCTGCACCATCCTCTAAGCCATTTATTGATGAGGAGGGCTTTTTTGATCCTCTCAGAGTCCTTCCCCGCCACTGAAGGGATAGAAGAGAGTGGTTCTATGATTCTAGGATCATTACAAAAACAAGACTTTTTCACTTCTATTTTTGCAGTGGCCATATATTCTGGATTCTTTATCTTTTTAAGAAACTTGATTTCCTTGCAGAGAAATGTGGCCAGTTCTTGTATAGCCAGACATCTGTGATGCTGCTGATAGGTTTTGCAAAGCTGCTCTGTCCCATTTACACTTGCTTACTTTCCTCAGGAAATACCTTTACGTTATAGGATCTCACACCAATGTGCAATGAAATGTCTGCTAGCCAGCAAAAAGAAAGACGGTGAAATATGGTTGGTTCTCCTGTGATACGTTCCTATTTCAAACTCAAATGTGAATAATTTCAGTGGCAGAATGTTAAAAACATGATATTTCAAGCCAGTGGTATTTCCTATGCTATATTATCTCTAGCACCTGGTTTATGATTACTGGAAAGCACAAAAATGCTTCTTGATGCAAACACTGCAATTTTCACTAATAACAAGAGAACAGTGTCAGTGGAATCATGGACTGCAACAAGCTTCCCCCTTCTGAATTCTCACATGGAAAAAGTCAGGCACAAATTAGGTTTTCTGAAAAGATGGTGTGGTGTGGTTTTCTACTGCCTGTAGTAAAATCTCTTATATTCCTAAGTGTGGAGTAAGTACCAC